ACCAGAACAAGAAGAACTTACTATTTTCCGCATCGACGAACCTATAGCAGAAACCATGCCAAAAAGTAATTACACGAGCACACGCGTACACGCGGAACTCGAGGTCAATTCTATTTCTTGCTGGTCATCTTTGTGATCTGTTTCTCGGTGAAAGGTCAATGTTTAGACAAAATGCGGAATATACAGGGTGGTTGATAACTGATGGTACAAGCGGAAAGGGGGTGATTCTACGCGAAAAAAGAAGTCGAAAATATAGAATACAAATTTTTCGCTCGAGGCTTTGTTTTCGAGAAAATCGACTTTGAATTTTGGCTCGGTACGTGTGCACTTTATCGCGTCTCGTTATAACGGATCTCACTGTACATCGTTGTCTCGATGGAAAAATTAAAAAAAAAATTAAAAAAAGAATTTTTATTCTATATTTTCGACTTCTTTTTTCGCGTAGAATCACCCCCTTTCCGCTTGTACCATCAGTTATCAACCACCCTGTATATTCCGCATTTTGTCTAAACATTGACCTTTCACCGAGAAACAGATCACAAAGATGACCAGCAAGAAATAGAATTGACCTCGAGTTCCGCGTGTACGCGTGTGCTCGTGTAATTACTTTTTGGCATGGTTTCTGCTATAGGTTCGTCGATGCGGAAAATAGTAAGTTCTTCTTGTTCTGGTAATTCTCAGCAACCTCTGACACGCCATCCTCTCACTTCCACCTCTCTTTGGTTATATCCCGAGGGTTTACAGAATGTGAATAACTTAACCTCGTGAAACTTCGTGCCAACCGCGAAGCATTAAGCCTGGTTTATATTACGGTTCCGTGTATATTGGTGTGTATTACTTAGTTAGCATACGTCTGCATCGCGCGCACGCGTGTAAGCGTGTCGGTGCAGGCGCGTATGTCACGTAGCTGCGCGAAAGTCATACATTCGGATATCAGAGTCGGAATTTCAATGTTCCTATTTGATTAATCAGAAACGTTCGCTTCCCCACCCGAAGTGTTCAGGGTTTCAAGCGGGAAACGCGACGGCAATCGCCGGAAATACTAGACGGATGATTATCAATTTCATAAAATATTACCGACGTCGCGTCGGGTCGGTGCAGTGCTTAATGCTGTTCTACCGGGAGTTAGAGCCGATTAGTCTCGAATTTGAATCGATAATGCTCGATAATTGCCGGGCAAGTATCGTGGCCAGTCATTTCGACCAACGTGTTGGGCCAAGTTACGTTGTTCGTTATCGTCAGAGGGCATTTAGCGATAGGTGATGATGAGTGTCCTAACGCGACGACTTAAAATAATTCGTAAGTTATTCGTTGTACGAAGAAATGTTTCAAACAAACGTTGCATGGTATCTAGGAGGACACATGGTTATATAATCTGTTTTTAATTAGCTTACCTTTTTAGCGAGATATAGGTCACCTTCAGTTTTTTTAACGAAATGTCTGATATTTTTTCTCAAATTCGAATAAATCGTCAAATTTTGGGTAAAAAGGTATTACACAAAATGGAACTTGAAATGAATAATTACCGAGGTATTTTCAAATGAATGATCTTCTATTAGGAAGTACGCTCGGCCAACGTGATTCTTAACACGTCTTTGTTTGCCGTACGTCGTGTTTGTAAACCTTAGTTTTTGTTATCTTGGCCCGATTATTTCCTCCGGGGAACACTAAAAAATGAAGTTTATCGCGAGCCATCAACGACAGTGGAAAATATGCGACAACGTATTATTAGTGCATGCGCTGCCATAACCACCGGAACGCTCGAAAATATTCTTCGCTCACTGATAATTCGATTACGCAAGTGCATCAACGTGTAATGAACAGCACTTCGAACACCGCTTGAAATAAAACCTGTTTTAAAATATTCGTTTTAAGTCCCACCGCGTGTAACGCTTTTTATTAAAAAGTACGAATTTGACGATTTATCTAAATTTGAGAAAAGATATTGAACGTTCTATATAAAAAACTGAAGGTGACCCTAATATCTCGCTATAAAAGTAAGGTAATAAAAAACAGATTAAAGCGCTCTATGTCCCTCTATATAACGTGCAACTTTTATTCGAAACATTTTTTCGTACAACGAATAACTTACGAGTTATTTTAAGTCGTCGTGTTATGACACTCACCCTGTATATATATAGTTGATTTTCTTTCTTTATCTTTTTATTTAATACTCGATGACGAAGTAATTTTGGATTCTCGTGATTGGGCCCGATAAGTCAGAAAGAATTCGATTTTAGCCACGAAAGATCGTAATTTGTCGGTGAGTTCAATCTTCTATCGAACGGTACGTCACACAGTGCGAGTCTGGGGAAGGCACCCGCGCTCATCAATTATTCGCGGCGGAACACGCGATTACGGGATACGTGAGTTCGAAAGAGAGAATGTAAGTATAAATGCGATGACCCACCCCGAGTCTTGCCCCTATAAAAGTTGCATTGCCGAACGGAGGAACCTCTCATGAATGTTCCATCCCAACAAGATGCCGTCCGGTGAAATCCACCAAGTGGCACAAGCCAGAAATTCTTTTCTCCGCTAAGCCGGCAAGGGCTCGATACAATGGTTTCGACGAAGGAAAAAGCTGCGTCGCTATCTGTCTCCATTATGTTTCCCAAGTAGTATGAATTTAAAATAGCATTCCGTAATCGTCGATTAAATCCTCGTCTTCTTTTGCATTTTTAATTTTATGTTTTTTTCGCTCGATATTCAATCGCGGAAAGTATCCAGCTGATGTCGGCGGAGTTTCTATAGAAGAGAAGAGAGAAACGATCAGAAGCAATTCCATCGGAAGAATAAATAAATCGTAGTTACGATTCGAGCAATAAATTCAATTTTAATTTTCAATTCGTCCTTAGCCATTTTTACGTTGTTCGTTTTATTTTTCTTCTCTTCTCTCATTTTTTTTCACCTGATATCCCACTGAAAACGGTATCGTTCGTGCCAGAGAAGTTTATATAGAAGAAAGGAAGGGGGTGGCGATCAAACGCGAACAACGGATCAACCGAATGCAATGACATTTTAACTATGCCAACAGTCAGCGAGTCTGCAACGACCATCAAATATGTCACAGGCTTGGAATTCCCTTTGATGACCCGTATACGTAATAGGCCCCCGTCCTGTTAACCGATTGCTTCACCGGATACGTCAGGAGACAGTCTACATTGTCGTGTACATCGTATACACGTATTAGAAATCCAAACCGGTGTACTTTCAACCCTAGTTACGTCGGCGTGTTCGTCCGTGCTCTTCCAGGAGCTCATGAACTGCGCATAAACTGACCGCTAACTACTCCGCGAGTAGTTTGAATTGCTCGCGTACAATGCTTGGATGTGTCCACTTAAGTAGTAAACGCTCGACCGTGAAGCAACGTCGCGGAAATTGATATCAGCGTGTACTAACTGCTGCGTTAATTGAACGGAACGAGTTTCCGTGGAGCGACAACGCGAGGAGAGCTTCTGCCAGAGGAAGGACGCGTTTCCTTCTCATCGAAAAGGATCGAAAGACGCGAAGAAATGCGTAGACGTACGGTGGAGGTGAAGAATAATCGATTTCGTTTTCTTAACGGTTCGAGAGAATCGGCCAATTATCGGACCGCAAATTGATCGTTCCGCGTTAAAGTAAGCGGAATTCGGGACGATGCAACGCCCGCAGAAGTGCAACGCGGATAACCGTGAGCCGGTCGATTAATTAGTATCGTATCGCGACGCGAGTGGCACGCTTAATTTCGCGCAGGACCCACGCTGGCAAGTACTGGCGAGAATCGGCCGGTCTCTGTGCGAATCAATTACCGATTATCCGTTTAGCAGACTCCGATAAACCCCAGTGAGGTTTCAAGGAATGTGAAACGTTGCTAATGAAATGCTTCCGATACGTCCGATACTTCTCGGTCTCTGGATCGAGTAACATTAAACGAGGAAGATAAAAGCGACCGCTGATAAGTAGAATGAATCGTAAGACGAATAAAAATGGAAATGGGATCAATGGAATGTACCGTATCATGTACTGGGAATAGGTTCTAATTTCATTAGAAAATCTCGAAAAACACGTACGTGCTTCGACGAAAATAATGATGCTTTTACACGTAAGTAGACTCGAATCTTGAACGAACGGGTTTAAAAGATGTAAACTATATGTTCAAGCGGGTCTGTATCTTTTATGAGCACTTTAACCGGAAGCTTCTTATTTTCCGCAAAGACGTATCACGGTGATACTCTTGTTATAACTTTCTCTTTATGGTATTGGATACAAGCGAAATCAGAACATACTGCACGTGTAGGAGCCTATATCTTTCCAACACCAAAGTTCCCCCAATTAAGATTTTATGTTTCAGGTTTAATATATCTTGTCGAACGATACCCACCAAATATCGTCCCGATCGGTCACCGGAATCATTTGGAAGAATATCCTAGTTTCCTTATATGTAAGTGCCTCATACGAGCGTTAGGTATCCTGCAAGTGAATTCCATATTAGCATTATACCGATAATAAGTATAATAAAATTGCAACCAAAAAAAGTTTCAAATTTTATGGTCAAACGCGACTACTTTCTTCAAAGAATCACTATGTGACTCCTTATAAACGTATTCAAAAACATGAATGGTACTTGATAATGCGAACATCACAAGCTGCAAACCTAGTGAATGACACAACATTTCTTCTGCCGTACATACTGCACAATTATTTGTGAAACGTGCTTTGAATCCAGTTGACAGATTCAAAGAAATGGTACAAAAAGGCATTAAAATTGTATATATTTTCATCGCTTCGATTCAGCCACATTCGCGTTTCAATGTAAAAACGGAAACGGTTCTGCTTACGTAACTAAAAACGAATACAAAACTGTTCTACAAGGTAGAATTCAAGGTAATCTATGCGTAAACAATTTGTGAACGATAAAAATGCAGTCGTTTTAACGGATAGAGTCGTTATATTAATAATTAATAATTTGCGAATCGCGCCACACGATTTTTTATAAATATTAAAATATATTCGATCTGAAATATTTCCATTTGAAACATGCTCTACAAACTCGTTAGTCTAATAACTAGTCGATATGAATATGTATTTAAGTACTGACTATAAATTGTGCAAATACTTATGGACAGTTTTCCGGTAGCACACATTCGTTAGTGGCTTCATTTCGTAAAGTACCTCCGACACACTGACAGCTGGGACCGGAAACGCATACCTGAAGAACATTTATCGATAACGTTAGAACACAAATAGCTATTTTATGCAGCTATTTTATGGTAGATTTTGAAGTTTGGATTTCAATAATCTATCTATATCTGAATATATGTTGACAAAATTCAGTCACATTGATATTCGGGCACGGACATCTCTTTATTTATTCCTTTGTATAAGGGACGATAATATAAACATAGTTGTTGCTTATTCTATGACAATGTGAACTATTTCTTGTAGTTTGAGGATATATAAACAATTTTTCCCGAATAATAACGCTTTTTATTATTATTTAACAAAAAATAAGGTTCCTCGTGAGAGGTACTACGGTCACGTTACCATCGTCAAAGCTTGATATTTAGACTGCTATATGATTCAACAAAAAAAAAAAACAATTTAACATTGAAATTCACGATCAAATCGATACTTTTGCTGCCCATTTTTAAGACATCACGAGTATACAGATTTAGCAGATCGTGAGTATAATTGTTGGACATCCTATGGATACAATAAAACGATGCAAGGAATTGTTTACATACTCTCAAACTACGGTAAATGGTTCGTATCTTCGTAGAATAAACAACGCGATATATAAATCATCACATTTTATGCAAAGCAACGAATGCAGAGATAGCGATGTGTCTAAATATCAACGCGACTATATCGAGCAATTTTCAATAACACGATCGTAAAGCTGTGCGTAAAATATCGGACACACGATATGGTCTGTAAAATGGCCATACATACGCGTTGATTTTTACTCACGAAGCATTCGACTATCCTTAACGCGACAGTATAACATATCGCGCAGTTGCGCCAAAACCGACGCAACTCAGAAAACACATTTTTCGAGTTATCACCGTGAGAATGTTACAACAACACTCGTTGACCGATTATGCAAATATTAATTTGACCGATACAGCAGAGTAGACGCTGTTGCTAATTCGAAAGGGACTGGCCTATATTGTACGAAAGTGCCTTATTACCAATTTTGTCATGATATTATCTGCCGATTACCCGATCAATAATCACCCAGTCTCTTTCCCACCCGTCCTAAGCATCGGGTCGTCCACTTTCTCGGGTTTTCGTACGCCTCTAATAATTTCATAATACTCACGGGACCAGGACCGCCTGGAAAAAGTTCAATACGTAGACTACGGCGACTGCGGGAACTGCGGGGACAGGGGTTTGTGATATTCGGGTGTCTATCGTCGCAACTTGGTTCGCACGACAGTCCGCAACGAATCCATTCTTCGTTTGTTGAGCAAACTGATGCGGTTGCAGTCGAGCCTACTAGTGTCGCATAGGCATTTATGAAAAGCAAGGAGCAAAATAACGCGGATAAGGTTTGAGGACAATGCAGAATACTTACAATCAGCGAGAACCACAACGACAAGTAAGAAAGCTACGACGTATGGCGGCATGATGACTTTCGTTGAGAATATTCGTTCGGTTAGCAGGTTCCCAGCGCGTTTTTGCTTTTAATGTGAAGGCACCGATGTTCGTGATTTTTATATGGCAAATTTCTGCCTAAAAACACGCATTTGTTTGGACAGTGTGTGCTCCACGTAGATAACACGTAGCAATAAATAACAGGCGTTTAACGAAGGAACGTTGATCAGTGTATTATATTTGGAGTTAAGGTGGAATTAACCGATGGAATTGTCGGAATTTTATTATATTTAACCTTACCATGCGGATATTTTTAACCTTGCTCGTTACATACAAATAAAAATCGCTATAGTAACATGAGATAAAACGTACAATGGGTAAGTTACGTCGAATATTACCTGTTCCATCAGCTGTGTTAGATAAGTTGGGATAATCTAAAGGCTAGTTCTAACTTAAAACACATAGTATAAATATATGAAATTGGCATTGTTTGGCAAACGTTCTTTCTAACAATGTCAATGCAACTCGTACCGACCAACAATATTTTTTCGAGTTTTCCTTAAACCTTGTCCGCTATATCTACAGATAAAAGTTGCTATTATAAGAGTAATAAGACAAACACACAATAAATAACAATAATAATAATAGCACACATAATAATAGATAAATGTCGTCGGAAACTATGCGTTTTCCAGGTAGTTTAGATAAGCCGGGGTGACTTAAAGACCAATTTCAACTTAAAAAACACGGTATTTATATCTAAAATTAAAATTCTCCGCCAACGTTTTTTCTATCAATGCTAATGAAGTTCATGCTGACGAACAATTGTAATGTCATAAAATAGTTTGAACTAGAGATCGATTGAAAATAGAAAAAACCGTGTACGTCGTCTTTCTGTGGTTTGTTTACATTTAAGAGCGCCTATGTGACTAAAGTCACCTAGTTCTTACATAGGTATGAGAAAAACAATAGACAACGTTAGATCAGAAGGACGGTTTCGTGTTTCAAGGTGGGACGACCGAAAGGTCAGAGTGTGCGAGTCGAAAAGTGTGTGTGTTGCGAGAGTCAGAGCTAATCGAGTCGTCGAAGAGTAGAGTCATTAGAGTTAATCGAGACACCGAAGAGTAGAGTCGAGAGAATTGATCGAGTTGTTAGAGAGAGAGAGAGAGAGAGAGAGTGTGTGTGTGTTAGATTCGTTTTGACGAGAGTGGCCAAATAACTGTAAAGTTATTTGATATAGATACGAGTATCACATTTAGTTTGCGTTAAACAAACATCGTTTCTGTCCAATTTATATCTGTATATTCGATTTAATATTAATAAATTGTAAGCAATCGGGGAAAAATGTATATCTTTATTTTCCGATATTACACAATGCTCTTTCGAGTCTTTCTTGAACTATCGACACATGCCTTTCGAAAATAGAACTTGTCATCGTTGAGATTCACTGCAGCCGGCTAGAGAAAACTTTAATACGTAACGTATAGAATATTCTTCTCTACTGGTACCAAGTTTATTCATTTTCCTCGCGATTATCGATATCTGACGTTATTTTAATCTTTATAAAATACGCTGCTTTAGCAACACCACCGAATAATGTTTGCAGAGAGCTGCAAAAGTTTATATTTTATCCTGAGTCGTTACATAAAACGCCAGCGACTTGCCTTTTAAAACCGGTATCGCCTTCATATCGGTGAGATAACAGCAACGCAACGACAAAAGTTTCCATTTCGTGGTTTCGTTAATGAAAATTTTACACTCTATCGATTTTAGTGACCCAGATTATTATGTTATGAAAGTCAACATGCCGATAATGAATAATTCGGCGTGTACATAATATAACCATTACCAAGCCTTAGTTTCCGAAATACAATAGGACTTTAATTATTCGAAGTCTTTTTCGGCCGCTCGATCGGAATAATGTCGACCAATAAAGGGAAACAAATATTATAAATACACCTACCTACGTGTTCATTACTATTATACCATTTATTATAAAACCGCGGAATCGTCGAGCACAGGGTTCAGCGAAGAAAGCAGGCGAAAATTAGGGTAATTTTAACGCGTTTGACAATGAAAATAACAATATGTACGACGTAGGTGGCGAAGAAATCGTGGAAAGAATGAAAGGGAGATTTAACAGTAGCAAAGACAGCAATGAATCGTGTTAATAGAAATATTTAGACTGTACAGCGCATGTACACGCACACATACATACACATATAGGCTAATTTTATTTTTTTATATCTTATAGTTTCTCGTATCAAAGTGACGTTGAGTTTTTTAAACGACATCGTGTATTTTTTATAGCCTTAGCCGACTCGAGATAAGCTGCCCTCCATGTCCGGTTTTGGGATCACTGTACTCCAGCTGTTCGAGCTGTCCTACTTTCGTTCGTGTAAGAAGGTTTGCTCGCACCCTTCCAAACGATTTTTAATCGTCAGTAACTAAGAAACAAAACCGAAAACGCAACTTTTATATTCATTTCGGATTCAAAAATCGCCCCTTAAATTTAGTTACACCTGTAGCTGAACACCCTGTATACCGTACCCAACGTTTGTAGTACGTAAGATACATCGTTTCGTCTTTCAAAGTTCGAGCACTACCTTCGCGAAGATCGATTCTTTGAAATGTCAAGGTACTTACAGATATAAATTCTAAAGTTGGAATCCCACGGAGGGGAAAATTTTGTATCGGAATCGACCTAGACTCGACAGTACATATTGAAATTGATCCGAGTGACATCGTAAAAGAACGACGAGGGGAGAAAGACTTTGAGTATCGAGAATACTTTCGTCGTGTTTGGGGAATCTCGAAAACAGTGTGGTGGACGTATGAAATACAGGTGTAATAATCGTCTGTTGGCGGAGATTGGTTTAGACGTTACATCGTCCATACGATAGAGGGTCAGCTGTTTCCTATTGTGCAGCTAATTACATCAGGGATCCAGGGACTGGGATATAGCTGCACCGAAATTAACTAATCTACCGATGAAAGAACCTACGCCACTAAACGCTCCACTGCATAAACTCGCATCGTAGGAGGTTGGCCTTTTGATACCCCATATCCCCGTGGTGTATTCGCGGAGAATGCAGCGAACTGCATCGATGGAAATTTGATTGCAGCAAGGTCGGATTTGCGACGTCTATTGTTACCCAGAGAACGGAATTTCAAATGAACGAAAGAGGCGATTCGTTTAGAACCGCGCACGAATATCCTAATTCGAAATAATTATTTATCAAGAGCAAATAACTTTCATCGTTTCGCCGATAGGAAAAATTACCATTGCAGTCGTTGCAATCGTGAAATTCGCGATGCCAGATACAATGTTTTACTTCTTAAAAGAAAAAGGCACGCAACGAAAGTACCTTTCTTTCGGTTTATGACAATCGCGTTAAACGAGTGGCATGATTCAGGATAATAAAAAGCGACCGACCTCCAAATTTTTACGACGTAACGGCTAGCATTGTACTACGTATACCTGCAAGCTTTTTCTGTTTCTTTCCTCTCTCCTTCCTTCTCCCCTTCTTTCTTTTTCCCTTTTTTTCCCCTTTTTTATATAAATTACGTCCACTTTTCCAGGATGACCGAAAAAAAGCAAAGGAAAGGGAAAACGAGAAGAGACAGCGCGAGCAGTGGGAGAGGAAAAAGAAAGAGAGACTAAATTGCGCGCATTAATGTCGCTCCCGCGATTCTCCAGTCAAGGGTCCCTCTAATGAAATTCACGAGCGTTTTGAAACGGGAAGCTTTATTAAACCAGGATTAAATAGCTGGAATTATTCAAAAGCTCAATTATCAGCTTATTGTCGGTCTAGCTGGCACTACTGGCTAAAAGCGTGAGAAGGGCGCAGATGGTGCACAACCAGCCCTCTCTTACTCTCCTTTCGCCAGCCTTCCGTTTGCAGCCTAGAAATAAAGGATTTTTAGTAGCCGGACTACAAACTAGAGATATATCAGCTCCTGGGATACGCTTTACAGGACTCTGCTTTACAGAGAACTAGGCTTTAATCCACTTCAGCTGGCCGTCCTTATTTTCACCGAACGTTTTTCCAAACGCCAGGGTCAAGAAACGAGTCGTCTTTTAAAAATATTTCTCGTCTCCTATCAACCTGTCAATCGTTGAAACGCGTGAAATTCGTGCGAAGATATAACTTCAAAATGGACACGGTGAATATCTGAAACTTGTCAGATCTAAGTTTCAGAAGGGATAACTTTACGATAGGCTATTAGAACTAGTTTGTATCTCTAGCAGGTTATCGTATTTTTAATAAGGCTGTCAAGTTCGCAACAACTCTGGAAATGCCAAAGTGGTAAGTAGTAAAAGTCAGTTTATAGCCAGACCTGAGACGCGATAATGACGTTTAAACCACTAAACTTGCGAAGACCAAAAAGCAATAAATGCTTAATTACAGCCAGATTTCAGTCGTTTCGGCAATAATAACGTTCCAGTCCCCGGCTGGTAGTCCACGTCTATAAGCGGTTAACGAGTAATTAGATTCCAAAGCGCACGTCCGGCCCTCATCTGGTTGGCGAGTCCACGGTGTGCACGTTAAGGAATAATTATAAAGCAATACGGTGAATCGGCAATCGACCACGTAGCTTACAGTAAACTATATGATATTCGATATAATATTTTATATTACATATAGTATTTTTGTGAATCGATAGACAAGATACGGAGTATATCACATATCGTGGGAATGAGAATTTATTTGAAATGACACGTGATTGAGAAGCAGATTGAGATTCTTGACGAGTATCGACGGCGAAAAAATTAAAAACCAGATTTGATTAAAATTGATTAAAATTTTAAATTTGATTAAAATTTAACCATGCGAAATTTTTATGCGAATAACGTCTGCACCGATGAATCCAAGATGAAACTCTCAAAGAGATTAATTTATTTATTATTTCATTATGCCACAGTATTTTTGGAACAACTTCGCAAACGTTTCGAAAAATGGGAAATCGCAAGAAAAAAATGAACAACAGAGAATAAAGCGCATCTGATATCTGATCTTTCACGCGATCGTGAATGCGGTTGGATTCGCGTGTTCTTGTATGCACTTCCGCAGCAACTAGCCGTACGAATTGGCTGACTTTCGGTCGAACGCCGGTCTCGCGAATAGCTCCGGAACATCGATATTGAAGTGCAAATTCCGTAAACCAAGGCTGAACGGAGCCATGCACATTTAACTTTGCACCTGCGACGATCATATAACGCGGCCAACCCCCATGTTTACAATGCACGTGTCGCATGGGCTGAGCCACAGCCACGAAGGCATTGTGACGCGCGCGATAACCGTAATAATCGAAGTGCTCGCGATCTACCGTTGCGGTCGAGCGAATTCGCGTGCCGCCAATCCCAAATTTCCCAAAAATCCCCGCGAATTGACGCCCAAAACGATACACTTTCCGTCTATATCGTAATATCGATAAAAATCGTTATAAATAGCAATTCTTTCACACGCCGAACTATCTTTAAAATGCCATGAATATCATAACACAAATTTAGAAAGGACCAATATATGCGAGTCAAAATTTATCCGTGTAAAGGATTCCTTATTTGGATTAATCGAAGTAAATGA